GGTACCGGGCGTCCCGAGGCAAAGAGCAACCCCAGAGCTGACCCAGCGCCCTCCGGCCCTTCAGGGAGTCGTCCCGGTCAGACCGGCCCCTGGGACCGGGCACCGGGACCGGGCACCGGGACCGCAGCCCCCGGGAGGCTCCCGGCAGCGCTGTTAGGAGATGAAGTGAGTCTGGGGGGTGACTTGTTGCAGCTGGTGGTCAGCTGGGTTTGCTGAGGCCTCGTAATTGCAGATGGTGACTTGGTGCCGATGGGCCTGAAGGTTCAGAGGACGGAGCTGGTTAGTTGGGTTTGTTCATCCAGGAGAGCTGAACCCAGTTCCCTCCTGGGACACCTGAGCTGAGCAGGTTCCCACCTCACAGACTGCCCATTGCAGAGCCCCCTGCACTGCTCCCACTTCTTCCTCACCTCAGTCATGATTTAAAGCCCTTTTTACACAATTAGCAGAGTTTACCTCCTCTCTGCTCTCAACCTACCTCTGTCCACTCTCCTTTCAGGCCTATATAAAAAATCTTCGTTGTCTCTGCTCCAAAGTTCTTTGGGAAGTGCATGGAGAGGTGGTAAACGTTGGAGAAACGGGCAATTCTGAAAGAAAGCACTTTCTGAAACTAGAGCTACACTTACACACTGTCCCTCTGCTGCCTTCCCACCTCCCCTCAGGGTGCCCCCCACACTGTGTGTGGCTCCTGCCCCAGCCAGACTTGAGGAAGCAGGAGGAGCAGTTTCCCTCACACTTGAGGTGCAGGGACCAGCAACAAGCTGTCAGTGGAGCCAGGAGCAGGGCACACCAGACTGGGATGATTCTGCACCCCCAAAAGCCCCCCAGTGTGACAGGCACAGACACCCCCCTGGCGCCAGGGAGGATGTTTTCAGAGAAAAACTCTGACCAGACAAGGATGGATCTGAGGAGGCAAATTCCACCCAGGGAAGCTTTGAGATGCAACCACCCTCTGTGAGCACCTCCCTAAAACCTGGTGGCACATCAAGCAGGTCCTGCTGTGCTGGGGGGAGCAGCCCCAGGGCTGGAGCCTACTTGGTGGGATATTCCAGCTCTCCCGTGGGATCCCGGTTCAGGCTGAACGTCTGCTCTGGTTCCCTGGCTGTGTCATCAAAGGACATGTGAGGAATGTTCCTGAACCTGGGAAGAGACAGAGGAAACCCAGGAAATGATGAGCACACGGGTCAGCTAATTGGTTTCCTCCCTGGATTCTTCTCAACCACCAGAAGCTGGATTTGCTTTGTCTTCTAAGGAAGAAAATAAACAGCACCACCCCAAAGAAGCCCCATGTTCCAGAATACCCAAAACTAACAGAAATATCAACAAAGGGCAAGAAACAAAGCTTGGGGGAGACAGATCCCAGCACAGGTGGGCACATGAAGGGACCCAGAGCCCAGTGCACTGGAGACCAAGGAAAATCAGGGCTCAGGAGAGGGGTATTGTTTTCCCCACAAGCAAGAACCCTGGAGCACTCAGGACTCTTTAATTTTTAAAAAAAAGGGATTCCTAGGAAGGTTTCCCCTCCCTGCAGGAGCTCAGGAAGGCCAGATGGCTCAGCACAGCCACACCACACAGTGTCCTGGCTGCAGGGCTCTCCTCACTTGTGTCCCCCCTCCCAGGCCTGCTGATCCTCCTGCAGCAGGTCGGTCCCTTCACGGTGTTTCCCCCAAGTGTTCTCCTTAAAACCAGCACCCGTTCCTCTGCAGGAAGGGCAGGACGTTGCCACACTTCTCTCTGGACAAGGGGCAGTTTCTTTTTCCTCCTGGGTGTCTGGGACAGCTGAGGTGCTGCCCCCTCCCACACCAACCCCATCCACCCCCTTCTCCTCACAGCCTCATCTCTGCCGGGTGTGAATCGTCATCTTCTCCCATCACAATCACTCCTTTTAACTTCACGTTGCCTGTGAACCTGCCGAGGGACACGGAGACGGGGTTTTCACCTCCGTTCTGCCCGGAGCAGCCCCGGTTGCAGCGGGACGCGGCCGCGCTGCAGCCCCGGGCACACGGCGGGGAGCGGGGAGGGACTCACGGGATGTTGAACAGCAGCTCCTCGTCATCGTCGCTCTCTACGAACTGGAGAGAGAGGAGCAGGTCAGGGCCGGCCCCAGCACCAGGTAACGCGCGCGGGAAACGGCGGCACCGGTGGCCCCGGAGAGAGGGGGGG